TGGAATGATAAAATAAACTTGAAATTCGTTGCCAGAAGACAGTAAGGTCAGCGTATAAGAAATTATGAGCTGAAATAGCCATAACAAGTTAGCCAATGGGAAATGTTTGGAGACTAATCAGGATCTGTTGTGAGCCATGGGAGACGGCTGGATGTGGCGTAGCTTAACTGGTCTGTATATAAGAGTTGGTTTGTCCTTGCGATATAGCTCCTGTGATTCTGAGTTCTGGTTTCTGCTTCTGGTCCTTGTACTTGCTACCACAAGAGATGCATGGTATTGCATACATGCATTATTATTTATATTATGGTATATAAACAATTTTTTTTTCTATAAATGAATCCTGCTGAATTATTTACTTGTGTGCTGATTGGATCGCTGCAAACTCTAATAAGTAATATTTTATGTACTGATTTATTTTCAAGTTAGGGAGCAAGAACAGAATTCTATTGGTTTAAGTCAGGTGCATTCATGCAGCACAACAAAACATTTGCGCTTGAGCAAAACGCCCTCTCCCAGCGAACCAGTAGTAAACCGGTTAGGAACCCACCACAGACAGTATATATCTGTATCTTTTTATTTCTAAGAAACAAAGCGGTATCTTGTTCTACTGTGCTTACCGTTCACCCATCATATTTGCACATGCACATTTACTGCTTCTCACCTTCTTGTAGGCTGCTGTCCCCGGTCACCCCTTTGCTTTGCCTGTCTCTCTCCCAACTCACCGGAATCCAAATCACAACCTCGTTGCCTAGCAACCATCAGGCACCGCGGACTAACTAAACCATTTCTAGCGCCTCTATTGGGGAGGACAACCCTCTGCGTGCCTTGCAAGAGTCCGCCTCTCGATGGATCTCAAAAAAAGCAAAGCCGAATAGGACGGGGTTAGTTGGTTGGATCCTGGAAGGAAGTTCCAGGGCTGTATTGAAATTTTATTGAAAATGTCTTTGAATATTAATAGCTGGGGCTGGTAGTTATGTTGCTGGTTTGAACCCCGAGCTTGGCAATTTGGTTGCAAACGTTTCAGTGGAGGAGACCCTTTCCATGCGTTTTAAATTTTATTTTAAAAAAATGATAGGAGGTGGCTTTTTAAAAATTATTTACAATAAAACGACTTGGACTTCGGTGTAGACAAGGGGTCTCCAACCTTGGCAATTTTAAGACTTGTGGACTTCAACTCCCAGAATTCCTCAGCCAGCAAAGCTTTGCTGGCTGAGGAATTCTGGGAGTTGAAGTCTACAAGTCTTAAAAGTTGCCAAGATTGGAGACCTCTGGTAGAATCCATGGAGTTTTGTGTCCATGCAGTTCCAGGAATCCAAGGCCAACTTGGAACAGACTTTGCTTTACTTTCTATCCCTTAGAATTCTGATTCCCCTGGTCCCTCCGGAGGGGGGCCCGGCGGCAATAGCTCCTGGACCAGACTCCAAAGTGATCAAGTTCACTCGGAGGAAAACTTCCCCTCCTCCGTTCTTCCCCTCCTCCGTTCCGCGACTCCCATTAGGGCGGCGCGTGCCAAAGACGGGCAGACCTTCCAGCCAATCAGGAGCGAGGGTTACCGGGAGCTTCCGCCAACCTGGCTACCGTAAAGTAACCTTGGCGGCAGGAGGAGGTCTCGGCGGCCTCCGGGATGGCCGGGCCTCTGTGCCGAGCGACGGGAGGCCTGAGGTGGCTAAGTCGACTGCTTCGCCCCGGGGGCAAGCTAGGCCCGCGCCCCGGACTGCGGCGGTGAGTGGGGCAGCTTGGGGTTGGGGCAACGTGGGAGAAGGGAAAAAAGGTGAATTGCTTGGGGCGGTGGGTGATTTAAACGCGGAGCTGCCTGGCTCTGTTCTCTCTTGATCCCATGCAGGGCGCCTGAGCTGCCCTTTCCGCTGCTGGGAAAAACCGGGCCTCTGCTTGCACCTTCCCCAGCCAGTGCAGTTCATCACAAGCCATAAGCTTAAGGCAAGTCACAATTAACTACTAAGAATCAATAGAATTCTTTATTGGCCAAGTGTGATTTTATTGGCAGCGCCCCAATATTGGAACACTGCTATCATGTCACCCCTAGCTCTTCTTTTCTCTAGCCAAACCCAAATCCCGCCACTGTTCTTGCTCACAAGGCAAGCCTCTTCAGAAAAACCTAGCCAAAAAAGCCCTTCAGAAACTAGTCCAGGCAATCAGGAGGAGTAAAAATTGGACTTGAAGGACACACACCCAAATACATTAATTAATATTAAAAGGCATAAATATTTTGAATGTCCAATATATGGTGATTGTTTCTATGCCAAACTTATGGAGGGAAAGATACCTGCCTATCACACAATAACAATCACACCTAGTTATATGCACCCAGGGTAGCCACAAATTAGGTGGTCTTGGTTTGCACAAGGAAGTGAGGCTCAGTAGGTTCTGAAATTTTTACTGCCTCAATGAAATAGGAATGGATTTTCCTACTTTCCAGAAGTTTATTTTGGTGCATTTTTCAGAAGTAAATACTTGTAAAATATTTTTTTTCTTTAAATCTCTCCTTTTTCTCCTTCATCCAGATTCCACCATAGTAAAAATACAAATCCATCGTTAGGTGGTAGCAAAGATTAATCGGCTAATGTATGATGTATTCAATGCTCTAAAGCAGGGCTGTCAAACTTGCAGGCCAGATGTGTCACGCACTAGCCATGCCCATGCCTGGTTTAACGAAGGGGGGGGGGGAAGTCCTGCTACATTACGTGATGTCACGAGTTTGACACCCCTGCTCTAAAGCATCTTAGAAATGCTGCAGTCTACTTTGGATATATGTTTTTAAATGGCAAAATACAGATTATATTGTATTGAAATTGTTAATTCCAAGAAAATTGTTACAGAAAGCTACTTTATGCTACTATCTTCTCTTCGGTTGCATTATGCAATACTACAGGAATTCCCAATTGGTGGAATAATGTATTCAGCACCTTATTTGCTAAATGTATGCACTTGAGATTTAAAGGACTGCTTACTACTTTAAATTTGTCTTGCAGGGCAAGTGAAGGTGCACATATTAATACTGTGTACCGCCAATTTTCACCACCACCACGGTTCGCAGTAGTCATCGGTGAAGCATCCAGTGGTCTCATGTGGTTCTGGATTTTGTGGCGCTTCTGGCATGACCCCGATGAAGTGCTGGTAAGAGCTGTTAGATTGGAAACAACTGTAAAGCAGTTTTCTTAATACAGAATATATTGTAATATAACACCTGGGTGAAAGGCCATTCTGTTTTACTTGTGTCACATTTTTATTTTAACACATATGAACCACAGGAGCATGTTCTATCTCTCAAGCGCTTTGTAGAATCCTGCTGCTCTGACTAGGAACTCACTTAGTGCAACATGTTCTGTATTTAACCTTATCTGGAGCATCAAGCTAGGACAGTGATTCGTGTGCGGGCGTACCACACCCATAATGCTATGTGCACGATCCCAGCGTGCATGCATGCACGACCAGTGCTCCCCCCATTTTTGGCGTGCTTTTTTTGCCCTCCCCAGGCTCCAGAGGATTTATAGGAGCCTGGAGAGGGCAAAAACAGCCTCCTCCCCCCCGAGACTTCCGGAGCGTGAAAAACTGGCCCTATGGGCAAACTGGATGTTCGGGAATGGACTTCCGGATTGCTTGTAGGGCTGGTTTTAGCTCTCCGGAGCCTTCAGGGGCCTTCAAACTGGAGGTTTGGGAACGTACTTCCGGTTTGCTTGTAGGGCTGGTTTTAGCCCCCTGGAGCCTTCAGGGAATCCTCCTGAAAGCCCCGGAGGATGAAAAACAGCCCTACAGACAAACCAGAAGTCCGTTCCCAAAGTTCTGGTTTACCCGTAGGGCCATTTTTTTGCGCTCCGGAGGCTTCAAGGAAGCATCCGGAGGATGAAAAATGGCCTCAAAAAAAAAAAAAAAAAGGCTGAAGTCTGCTGGCCAGCGCGCACATGCCAGCTGACAGGGCAACACCCTGACAAATGGCTCCACGTGCCACCTGTGGCAGGCATGCCATAGGTTCGCCATCACGGAGCTAGGATCTTAGGAAGACTTTTATGGCATTAAAGACAATTCTCTAGTGTAGTTTACCCCAAATTAGGCCATCTAAGGATTACATTCTTCAAGTCTCATCAGCTTCAACAAGGATTGTCTTTTTTGAGGACTTGTTATTCGTCTGCCAAAAAATTCTAGAACTGAAACAGAGAAAGGTTATTTTAACTGAAATATTAGTAAAATGGTTAAGTGAATCTGGCTTCCCCATTGACTTCAACTGTCATAAATATGAGTCAGTTACCAAGCATCCAAATTTGGATCACATGCCAATGGGGATGGTACAATGGATGTAAGTGTGAAAAACGGTCATAAGTCACTTTTTCCGACTGTTGTTGTAACTTTGAATGGTCATAAATGAACTGTTGTAAGTCAAGGACAACTGTACCAGCTCCAATCATAACTACTACATGTTCAATGCCATCTTAAGTTCGAATGGTCACTGAATGAGTGGCCATTAAATGATCACTTATGTAATGCAGTACACACAAGAGTATAAGAAACGTGACCTGGAGTATATAGAAAAAAGAATCAGCCAATAATCGTATTCCACAGATTGTATGTAACGTAGCTTGTTCAAGCTGACTAAACAAGATCACTTCTTAATGAGAGAACTGCTAATGAAATACAAATTGGATAATTGTTATGCTTCTCTTAATAATGCTGAATATGACTTTTTAAAATTATTTATGCATCCTAAAATTGGAATTCAAAATTCTACTCAGCTTTAAGATTTTTTCCTCAAAACACCAATTCTGTCATACTGAGCGATATATTTTTGACAGGAGTTCTAAAAAATTCAACTGGTTGCGAGGCTGTATTTGGAAGGGGAAGAAAGCTGTGTACAAGAAGCTTTTATGTATCCCTGAAGTATTTTTGGATTATAGCTATGCTCCAAAATGGGGATTATCTGATTTTGTTTGCTTGCAGAAGTGCCTGATTCAAGACTGTGAAACAATTTTCTGTTTGAAAAGTAATCTAAAATGTTAAACTTCCTATTTTTCTCTAACAGGGTCACTTTCCATTCCCAGATCCTTCTTTGTGGACAGATGAAGAGCTAGGAATTCCTCCAGATGATGAATAATAAACATGTGGTTTCAAAGTGGCTCTTAAAATATGATAATTTGCTTAATAAGAAAGCATTAATTAAGATCTACTGTTGCAAAATAAGGAATATCACATTAAAATTGAACTACACCAGAAATGTCTGCAGTGCTATTTATTTCCCAATTGTAGGAGCATATTTCACTATCCTATTTCTCCTTGTATTTTGCTTCAACCAATTTGTTTTCCTAATAACAGTAGGAATTATTCAAATGTGGAACATCAAAATACATTTAAAAAATAATAACAGTAAGCAGACTTTTAAAAAAACCCACTTGAATCAGCATTTAGAATCTGGTCTAAAGGATGGAGTTGTGTTATGACAGTCTTGTTCAAATGCTGTTTGAATAATTATTTAAATCTTAAAACAGATTCATCTGAATTATTTGTCTTCATTGTTTATAGACTACAGAATATATTTTGCTTTACATTAAGTATGAATTTTAACTAATAAACTATAAAGCCAGATCATGTGTTTTATTTTACACTCTGTTTCTACCAATATATTACTGTGTTGCATTTAAAAACACATTCAGAGCTAATTCTCTGGTTATACATCCAGTTCCTGTTAACAGCTCTATTTCACTGATACAATTAATACTCTGAATTTCTGAATGTAGTCGCAAATATAACCCTTGTTATATTAATGATATAATAATGATTTCATGCAGTGTTCTCCATGCAGTCAATCTTTATTATAGCAGTATTCACATCAAATACATATAACTTTTAACCTTTTATATAATACAGAGTTCTTTAAATAACTTTACACAAATAGTTCTTCAGTCTTAATTTTCAGCTGTCATTTTTTTTAAATTGTATGTCTCCATGCTCGCTAAACCAAACTGGACAATATTTCCCACTGTACAAATTTACATGAGAGAAAAAAGCTCAAAATACAAATGAAAGGAATTTACGTTAGAGGATTTTAACAACTAAAATCTGTATAAGCTTTTACAGTCAACAACTGGAGAAAAGGAAAGGCTGGGTGATGGGAAAACGCTGCAGTGATCAATAAAACAAAGCTGAAAATTATTTTCCTGTGAATTATAAGTGCAGTCCTCATAAATATTGTTTTTAACTCTTACTTTTTTTTAAAAAAAAACCCTTTTCTCTTAAAGAGGAAGCAACAAAATTGCAGTTTTCGAGGATAAAACATTTGTGGAAAAAAAATCTTGATGTTCAGATAGATTTTCCCTGCACTAATTAAACACATTTCTTCTTTTCAGTAACATGTTAGAATAACCTTGTTCAGCAATTTTTTTGGTTCATCTTTGCAGTCACTTCCATAGGATTTAACTTTACAGTATTTAAGCTAGACAAATTTTACACAAAGGTTCTCTGCCCATCACTTTAAAGGTTAAGGAAAAGCCTATGGAAAGGACTTCATATCTATAATCTCCACACTCCTGTATAGAATTTTTTCTAGCGATACAACAGAGTCCTAATCATGAACAACTCTACCATTTTCCATGATTGCAAATCCCTGAAGTGACGATTAACACACAGAAAGAAACAGTGCATGTGGTAAGAAGTCATTGGAATGAAATTCTCCAATGATGCAGTGGAGAGAATATCCAGTTAGTACAATTTCCCTACCTAACTGAAGAGAAGCAGCACAGTTGAAAAGGGGAAAAGGTCCATCCATATATCAAACACTTAACCGTTTTTATATAAATTCTTTTAGGAAAATAGTGTAAAGATAAAGATAAAGCCTTTTTGTATTCCAGACACAACAGAAAATCGGGGAATTTATGGTTTTCAGCTGCTTAGAAATTCTTTTTACCCACCACTGGTCCCTAATAGCCCCAAGAGGTGCTGGTTACAAAAGCAAACTTCCTCTATTTAGGCTAGAAGGGCTATTGCAGTCCAGTAGTTGGGCCTCTAGTGCTCAGTCTCAATGACTATGTAATTCAGTCACAATATATGCTCTGTACTGAGATATAGAGCAACACTACTTAGGAATACAACAAGCTCAATTTTATTCTGTAAAAATTGGGTGTTTGGCACATTCGTGACAACCAACAGGCAACACCAGTTTTATGATATAGTAGTTATTTGGAACGATAGTGCTGTCATACAGAAACCGATTTTATAAAAAAAGTAAAAAGCAAGGATTACGGGTGAGCCAAGGAGTTTGGTTGTCATGAATGTATGCATTCTCCTCCAAAGCCGGGAGAGAATGATCCTAAATAATATTGATCACTGCCACTTTAATCACAGAAAACAAAAGGAAAAAACAATCTGGAAGGAATGAGGTGGATTTCTTTAACCATTCACAGCTTTAAATTTCAAAGTACACTTATTGCACTTAAGTTTTTATTTTTATCTTTTAAATCAAAAGTTAACTTAAACTCAAGGTTCATACTCTGAATGCAAATAATAGTTCCCACTGTTCCCATTCTTTTCTCTATTGGTTTATTTTTCTTCCATTTCAGCCCATGCCTGAATGAATGTTTCCCTATCAACTTATCCTCTCTAATGTATGTAGATAATGACATTCTAGTAGAATCCCAACACACTACAGGAAAAAGTGGACAGCATAAACCAGTAGAATACAGAATCTCTGAAAGCCTAACAGTTCAAAACTCTCAACCATTTAATATTTTTCTAATCCAGAAAGGAAGCAGGAATAATTCTAACAGATTTACTTTTTGATATATTTAACTGGAATATAATAAACATAAATCACTCTGATATTTATAAAATAAATGTCAGGGTTCAGAATTCCATCTGCCAAAATAGAGCTTACACATATAATTGCTGCAATTTATGCTAATTTATCTTGAAGTAGGTCTTCAAGAACAGTGGGTCGGTCTTTCACATTTTAAGAAATGCTTAAGATTATGCACAGGTTTATTTTTCTATTTTAAAATATTTTCCTGTGGATATTAAGTATTTGTAAAGTTTAACATCCCAGTGGATTTAATATCTCTTAAACCCTAATGAAGGTGGGAAGGACCAATCAATAAACCTGTACTCACAAATATAAATTTGGAATAGGCTACAAATCACATCAGTTCCTGTACTGTTTCTTGACTATCCATATTTTCTTCAAGTTTATTATGTCAAAATAGTAACTGAATCTAGGTTGGGATTTACAGATTTTCAGTTCAACAAGTTTCCTGAGGAACAAGTGAACCAAATCTTTGATGGTTTTCTCACCAAGAATCTCAACAACTTTGAACTAGCATAGTAGTCTCCACACCTCCTTTATTTTCTTTTATTGAACTATTTTACCCTTCCTCAAAGGTATGTTTAATGTTCTTTCTTTTTTAAAATGGTTCTTCCATTTTGCCTACAGTATTATTTTATAAATAATAAGTTTATTATTATTTCAATTAATTTGGGATTTAGTGCTGATCTGGGGAACAAATACTACATGAACACAGTATATTTGGAATACTCCAGAAAAGACCAATGGCAGTCATGGAGATCTAGTCGCTATTCCTTTTATTGAGATTTAAACAGGAGATTTTGCTTTATGCACAATTTCCTGTATTTCTACCCAAGTTTGAAACTGTAGTGTATTGGGAGTCAAAGTAAATTTGCTGTCCCGTAATATAAGCATCTCAATTTTGTGGTCATTTTTACTTGCTTTTCAAAAGGCACAACCATTTGGCAAATTGTTAAGGAAAATTTCCCAGATTAAACGTGAGAGACCCATTATAAAGCAAAATGTATTTTCTAACATTTGTGCAAGCACAGACAAGGCTGATACAATACAAAAATAAAGGCAAAATAAATATTTTGCTGATCGTCTAATTCTGCAAATAAAACTTAGTGAAACTTCATGAAAAAACCAAGAATAATGCACCAAACATTTTTAGTTATGCCCACAGCTGGAAAATTGAATTAAACTTCAATAAAATAATTCACAATTTACCCACCATCCTGTTCTTTTTGAAAGGCTACTAGCCATTTTACAGTTTATTTGTAAATTAATATATACCTTACAGTTGTATGTATTAATGAAATGTGCAATTCTTTGATGAGGTTTCTTACTACAAATGGGAAATAATGACAATCTAAAGGATAAAAAGTCTAATGGTTTAGTGTACAGTAATTTCGTGGAAAAATTGGTGCCTTTCTCCTCCATATGCAATTGGTGATTAAACATGAATTATATTTAACAGACAAACTCCTTTCCAATGTGGGTGATATGTTTACAAAAGAAATGGAAATCATAGAATTATTAAATCTAGACTAGATTTAATTTCTCTAGTGAAATAAATTATTTAGATTGAATTCAGAAGAAATGCTCTCAGTATCAGCTATGCAGCATTCTCTCTTACAATGGATTGAAAGTTGCTTAGTCTTAGAACCATGTAACCATTCAAAAAAGAATGCAATGAGATAGAAGATATGCATGCATATCTAAACTATTCCCCTCCTCCAAAGCAAAGCAAAAACTGAGACATCTAATTAAAAAAATAACTCAAAAACAAAACAAAATGAAGTTTCGCGATGAAAATTGCAGCATAAGACTGGAGAGAAATTTCTTTCACAAAGACTACCAGCTGGATGTTGGGATAGGTAGCTGTCTAGTTTTTTTGGGTGAAGTACTGCCAGTAATAATATCATAATACTGGAAAGCCTTTAAAATACAGTTAAGGATGGCAGTCAGAAACATTAATTCACAGCTTTGCTGTTTATGGTGCAAAAACAAAGGTCAGGTGAAGCCTAGGAATGTTATCATTCTATCATTTGTTGTAGAATTTCTCAACTGGATAAGCCTTTGTTGAGGTAGGTGCTGCCACTGGGATGATTAGCTAACAAACACAATTTCAAACAGCATATTAAGAAAAAAATTAATTCTGGAATTAACAAAAACCTCCATTTTGTTCACCCACAAGAAAATCTGTTTAAGGACACATTCCTATTATGATAGTCTCTGTTTGTTTTCCAAGAAATTTTAATTTGGAATTAATGTACTGATTGCAGTTATTCTTGTTCAAAAGACCAGGATGATTTCTGTTTTAATATAATAGCTTTAAAATCAATTTGTAAAACATTCTTACTCAGAAATCAGTTTCACTGTTCTCAACTGAACTGATTCTTAGGTTGTGTGTGTTTAGAATAGCATCTCTAATGGCAAATTCTAACAATCTTTCAAATGTCAATTGAAGGGATAGTATAATGAATCTCCTGATTAAAGAATAAGATAGATTATTATATTAAAATGATTTTGCTGTGTACATTAGTTACTGGGTCCAGAAAACAGGATATTGTGCTAGAAAATCAGAATTCCATGTCTGAATTGATCTTTCTGGATGAGTAATGATTTCTGTAGAAATTTAATTTACCAATCTGCCCTAATTGCTTCAAACTACACTGATTTTGAATGCAGGACCTCAATCACTCTCATATTCTCATCCCAATTTTGGGTTCAATTAGGTTAAGTTCATTCAGTAGAAGATATACATTGGGGAAAACAATCAATAGTTTGCCTTATGCTTAGATGGGCA